ATATATATATTTTTTTTTTTTATAATATATATATATATTTATATATATATATATATATATATATATATATATATATATATATATATATATAAAAAAAAAAAAAAAAAATTATCTTAACATAGATATATATATATATATATATATATATATATATATATATATATATATATATATATTATTATTATTATTATTATTATTATTATTATTATTAATTGAAATCTTATAAGTATAAGAAAGTATACTCGTCCGGAAAACCTTCGCTGTCTTGATTCACAAATAATGAAACAAATTCCAAAGGGAAAAATGGTATAAAAAAGGAAAAAACCAAGATATGTACGTTAGCCGAAAATAATTGTCTACAATGCAAGTCCAAAGCCCAAAGAAAAAAAAACCGATACGAGTAGGCAAAATAACTAAATAAAGTGCTCGATACAGTAAGTGGAACAGACCTAGTTAAACCTAGACCTAGTTAAACCAGACAAACCTACCTTCCCTGATGATCCGCTTAGGTGAAACCTTGGTAGGTTTGTCGGGCTCTTTAGGTTTAACTATAGTTCTGTACCTTATTACAGCATACATTTTGATTATGTAATTATTTTCTCTTCGATTTAAATCCATTTTAGTTGTTACTGCTGTTGAAAGTTCTCAAATGATGTGGTGTTTGTTTTCTTGGTTTGTAATTCTGTAGCGCCAATCTACAATATTCGAAAAAGGATAGTCTTCATCAAGACCCTCAGTCTTCACAAGCTCAAAGTCATTTTTAACCATTGATCTTAGGAAGCGGTTGTATACATCTAACAATTTAGATATTTTTGAGTTTGACGCCATGAATGATACCCATATGAATAGACAAGGCTATTTAAGAAACTGGTACGGGTTTTCAGGTTAATGTTTTGGTTCTGTAGCAATTGGCGGTGTTAGGCGAAACTACCCTTGGCGCAGCCTATTCTATGTTCAACTTCCTTTTCTCCTATATTAAATTTGTTATAAGCGATTCATACACTGAGGTATCTGAATCGTTTGATGTTTACTAATTCCACATCCTGAATATTGATGATGAATTTAGAGTACGTGCCATCACTGCTTTCATTCCTATTCCATATCATTTCTCTTTTAGGTTTAAGGCTCCAAGTGTTAGTATGTCTCATGGAACAATACGCTAGTTTATTAAAGGCGTTGCTTCAGGAATTTGGTGAGTTCAGTCACTGAGCTGGTTAGTAGACTTAGACTCGGTGCAAAAAAAGGCGAGCAATAACTGAACAATATTAAATAAGAACAAAACAGCAGAACGAGAATAAGCTGCCTCGTGGATTAAATAAAGGATTTAATTCGAAATTCCCTGAAGGTTACCCGGATCAATATCTGAAGAAGACCAGAGCACACAACGGCTGAAACGTTGTATTAATAGCAAACAATGATGAGGACCATGTTTAAATTTGTTTTTTTTTAGGTTTTGATTGGACTCACCAAAATTCAGTCGTTTATGCGAAAGTCGCTATTGGAAGACGGTCCGAGTTTAGCCACGTTTCATCTGTAGGAAAGGGGATGTAGGGTGAATAATAATTCATCACCTACAAGGCCGTGTAAATACTTTTGAACTCTATCAAGGCTAGAGGGTATTGGGAAGCTCCAGCTAATATGACAACATTACTGTACTTATTTAATCAGACTCTTATAAAGATTAACTATAGCAAAAGGAATCAGTTACTTTCTGGGGCGGTATAAACAGCCGACCGTTCTTCCAGCAAATTCAGCGATGGATCGTATATATGAGTTCCAATTGAATGATCTGTAATATGTATGCAGTTTCATTACACAACGAAAAAAAAAAACAATAAAAAAGAATGCAATTTATAGATATACAGTGAAACCTCGGCTCACGAATTTAATTCCTTCTTGAAGACCGTTCGTAACCCGAAATGTTCGTAAACCGAAACTATATTTCCAATAGGAATCAATGTAGAGGGAAAAAAGTCACAGTACAATAAATTTGGAAAAGAAAAGCACGCCACAACACACGAATGTATACAACACGGCAGTCGACTCAGAAATGATTCCGTTCGGGTTAACCTGGTTCGACAATGTTATTCGAGAACCGAAATTTTGTTCGATAACCGAGGCATTTTCATTTCGAATATATAACTTCAGTAGATAATAAAGATTGTTTAAAATTCATCTTTATTTTTCTTAATTGTTTCATCCCAAGCAAGGAAATAAAGCCACTAAGATACAAGGGGTTTACTGAAAGTGAGGGAATATAAACAAAATAAAACATTATTAAAGTGAGAGAACAATAAAAGAACAAGAATTAAGAAGACAGAAGATAATGATTGACATTGAATTTAAATTTTTTTGAAGATCAAAGTTGACTCGGAAGCAAGAAGCAGGAATAGAGTTCCACAAGCGTGTAGTACGAGAAAAGAAACTGTTAACATAGAACTGACGGTTACATCTAGCTATTTCAACTGTGCAATGATGAAACCTTGCCGCAAATCTATTG